GGCTACCAACTATGAAAAAAATCCATTTTGGTCATTCTACTTGATTCTTTCACTTCTTGGCATCTTTTCTTCATTCTTTCCATTCTATCATCCCAAGATATCATCAATTGGCATTTGGCTTAATCAATTTCTTGATTTGTTCATCGGGTCAACTTTTGAATAATTGCACCTTAGTCCCTGAACTTTCACTTTGCATCATTTAAGTCCTTTTTTGTGTCTTTTCTCCTGAATTTCACCATATTCATCGGTGTTTTCCACAATTCACAAATGTAACGAGATTAAGTCACAATTCAATCATTTTGCTCGTAATTAAGTCATGTTTGTGACCTAAATAAGTATGCAAAAATACACTTATCACTTGAATACTCTGTGCTTCTTGGGTTGTTTGAACCAGTGCGCTTCCCATGTTGCCAGGGCAGTTGATGGGGCCGGTATTGTCTGCAGGGTTCATCCCAAGGGTGTTTTTCATTGCATCAGCTGCTCCAAATGCTATATTTGCAGCTCCAGTTGCTGTTCCCCGTGCAAGGTTGATGGCCCCTTGTGCCGCTCCTTTGCCTATATCTGTTGCTCCTTGTGCCATGTTCTTGACTTGCAATCTGGTCTTCAATTATAGACATGTCGTAATTAATGTTGGAAACTTTGGACGAGACTATAATTGTGAAAATGAAAATGGAGAAGTATGAAAAGATCCAACATTACATCTTTAAGGAAGTTGGTGCCTTGGCCTTGGTTATGGATGTCACATGGTTGGTTCAGCAGGTCATCCCTTCTCATCTGCAATTGCACAAAGGATACTAAATTGAGTTCAACGGTATGAAGAAAAAAAGAAAAGAACTAGCCTTTACTCGGGCGTAATCAGTTAACCTAAACAACCGGTTATCTCATTTTTCTAAGTCTAATTTTCAATGACTATGATGCCCCATGTTTGTGTTTCTTAGCATAATGCTTTTCTCAGACGAGAGTTTAGAAGTGTTGTAACGAAAATTACCTGAGCTTGACCTGGAACTTGTATAGGATTATGTGTATTGTTAGGACCTTAGCTTGCCATTTTCTCTTCTTGTTTTGCTTTCTTGAATGCAAATCAGAAATCATGAAAGTAATGGTTTTCCAGGTGAATTTATAGTTTTGTGAAATTTAAGGATTCTTGTTAATGCTATACCAAAATATGTACATTAATCAACACATGGCATGGTGAAATTCAATACCTTCCGGGGGACTGTTTCAAAGGGGTTTGCTAAGTCATGAAAAGGGCATGCAAGTGGTTTTAACTGATTGTGAATGCTTTACAGATGACCACATGCAAAGGATCCATCTTAAGTTGTCCAGCTCAGAGTTATTGACCAGGAAAGAACTGTCTACTGGAGAGGTGTAAATTGGCCAGGTCGTACCTACCTAACATGGCCTGGTACAGATTCCTTATACATTCGACTTGACACAACTCAATCTATGACATACTATGCCTAAGCACGTATAGGTATGGACGAAGACAATTTCAGGACTGGACTACAAGTCGAACTAATATGTAGAATAAAATAAATTTACACAAAAAAATTTACTCTAAAAAAAATTAATAGGCTAGGAGTGGGCCAAGACTGTCCCTGGGTATGGAGTCAAATTAACATTGTTAGGCTTGTGACCATGCGTCTATCGAGTAAAGTTGTCAGCTCAACTTAACAAGAGCTAAGTCTATTGATTATAACCAACCATGGATCGAGGTATAATTTCTCGTCGGAGAGAGGAGCGGTTTGCGCGTGAGGAAGAGTCAGCCAGGTGCTTAAGAAAGGTCACTTACTCTTTGTCTGTATGACGACATCAACAATTCTATCAGTTTTTGATTTTGTGAATGAAATTCCAAGCTAGGGGGCCTAATCTTTCTATTTTATAGACTCATTTCTTGGAGTCGAAAACATCAAGAATTTACGCTCTGATCTGAGTAGTATGTGACACGTAAAATTTCGTATGAATCAACGGACCACCTTACAAAGTTAAATAGCTCAACTAATACAATGATTTATTAACACACATTTTATGCACTAATAGTTGTGCTGCTCGCCACGTGGCCCTATACCACAAATATCCTGTAATAACTTCACAAATCATCAACCTGGTTTTTATCAAACAATTTTTAACTATGAAATATTTTGACAAAGCCTCTATCCGAAGGACATGTCTCAGTTCATTGCCTACACACCTATATATTTTTTTGTACCTAGCAACTTGTATATAAACCCATGCAAGAACTCTCTTCTTCATTCACAAATCACAATGAACAAGAAATTAAAATTAAAGTTTGTTTTGTAATAGAAAATGGCATCTCATGAACAGAAATTCAGGGCTGGTGAAACCAAGGGACGAACTGAGGTATATACACAATTTCATTGCAGTCTAGTAGAGTCGTAGTTGATTTGGCACCTCAAAATCGTTTAACACGGCATGAAATGACTTAGATTTTTCTTTCTTTAACATATATTTGCATCACTTTTATATTATTTGTTCATAAATATAGATTTACATGGGTCAAAGGCTTCTACAATCGAGCTTAGCAGGCATCGACTTTAATGTCTCATCTTTAAAGGGAAGTTGGTCCATGGTACATGTACTTGACTAAGTTTTTTTGGTTAAATATTATCTTTATCCACATAATTTGGAAAACTTATAGTTTTTATACACATATTTCATAAGATTAGAATTTATAATCAATTTTTTTTTTTTTTTTATCAAACATGCACTAAGAAGAAAAAGAAATAAAGCATTTTCAATGACACATTTTCTCTATAAAATAATTTTTTTTAACTACGTTTTTTAAAGAAAAAAAATTCACTTTTCATAAAATCTATTCTAACAAAATATATACCATAAGCGGGTTAAAATTTGTCTATTGTGACTACTATTATATGTCAGACATGCTATCTACATGTGCGAATCCCTCCCAACTGGCAAACACATACGTAAATTTCATATCAAATGTGCAAGCTACCAAAACATTTTGAAAAATTACTTGCTTTCTATTACGATACCTAGCTTGCTCTTCAAGGGGACGTTTGCAGCAATATGTGTACCATCTATTGCCCCTACAACATCCTTTAAAAAAGAATAGTTTTCGAAATATTATAATATTGAAGTTCTAAGAGATATAATGAAATAAATACAAACCTCAAACCTGAAAAAATGAGTACTATGGCTTCACATTTTCCTTCTCGTATAGAGAGTTATGAGGAGTGACGTTAATCACGACATCTCTATAGAGTCGAAGACAAACGTGTAAGACTCTGTGGAAGTAAAAGCTCACCGTTTGACTAGATCGAAAGAAAGTAAAATGTCCAGCTCAATTACATTGATCATGCCTGACGGTATTTAGAAAAATAGCCAGTTGTTCCTAAATTCGGACAAATTTACTATCAACCAACCCGTACGTTCGCAAATGAGCACATTATCTTTGAAACGGACCTATTTTCATCCTAAGTAGATCATGACATATCGTATCACTCGTGCCAGACATTCTTAAAAGTGGCATCTCTCTTTCGGAATCCCAATTGGTAAGTGGAGCTCTAGGGAGATGTTGTTCACAATGCTTAATATCATTATATATCATAATCGCTTGTATGACCATTGTCCAAAATAAACCTAAATTTTGTTGTTCGCGTTGACGTTGAGTCCTTGTTGTAGCCATATTACGAACTACCATGGCAAATAAAAATTATATAAAATTAACATATAAATTACTTGTTATAATTAGACATGATGACAAGAAGAAGCTTGATGACGATTATATAAACTGTATAATGAATTTGCAGTGGAAAATTGGTTTAACATAATGCTATCAAAAATACACAAAATGGTATTAGCATTAAGCTATTTTCAAACTGCCAGCATATTTGTTGCTCTGTCAAATGAAGCATCTCCATGTGGTTGCTGAATTAAATTGCAAATGTCTAGATGCTATGATAAACCAACACTGTTTGGAACCTCTAGATAGAAATGAACCATGACATCCTAAAGGAGCATCAAAAGCTCCTGAACATTCCCTTGAGTTAAATCCAATAATAAGAAAGTTAGCAAGTTACTCATGGGAAAGGGGGGTGTTGCAAACCCTTTAAAACAATAGTGGGACATGGAACTACAAGTGCCATTTTCCCTTTCTGGATTCAGACCTAACTCCAACACTTTTAGCTATAATTTTAAGAAATCTCTCTCTGAGACGGTATTGGTTATGAGCAGTTGCTTGGAGACATGAACCATCTGCTTATTTGGTAAATCACTTGGAATGATTGGATGGGATTTAAAACAAGATGGCAAAAGAAAGAAACTTGTGAAGCACCTGAAGACAACCATGGCTTCTCTAGGAGAATTTTGTATTACGAATTGTCAAAAACAACGGGATTTCCAAAACCTTTGCTTCCGAGAGTATGAGCTCCAGATAATGCAACAAGCTCCTTAGTTCTGTCAATAAATTCTCCTTTTAACAGTTACTCCCTATGATTTAATTGAGGAAACCTGACTGGCATAAAATAAAACTAGAGAGTTGTCAACAAGCTCCTTAACATTCCCTTTAGCAGCATAATTTTTTAGAAAGTTGTCACTTTAATACAAACTAGTTAATTTTATTATAACATTAAGCAAATTTACAAACTAACCAGCATTTAAGCGGTGGAGGCAGAGCTACGTTAGAGCTAGCGGACCATCATTTCCTACGCCAACCCACCTCTTTGAATAAATATTTCTCTCTCTCCCTCTCTTAAACATCTATCTTTCGGACGGCAAATGTTCTTGATCTTTCAATGTGAGTACTGTAATTCTATACTAGATTTACCCATTTCACCCAAAATTAAAGTGAACAGAAATTAAAAGGAAGAATTATTTATTCCAAACCTGGATAAGGACAAGAATTCAACCCCCATCCCCGTACTGCTAAAAGGACATTCGTTTAACTAATCTTCACCTTTTCATTTTACCATATTTTATGGAAACTCTCAATCATATATTAGTTTTGGTATTCTTTCTTCCAGTTCTTTTGATCCCAATATTTTATGGCTTCAAAAACCAAAAAAAATAAAAATAAAAATAAAAAATTAACCGTCAAATTTGAAGGTAATTCGATCCATTTCAATCGAGATACAGACTTCGTAACTTGAAAATTTAAACTCCAAGAAACGTAAAACAATTATGAAGAAAATTTTCAGACAAATGCAAGTTTTCTTTGAATAAAATAAAACCTACCCCCACCCCGACAACAGGAATAAGAAACCTCACCGATTTTTACATATTTTTTGGAGAGGAGAAACAAGTAGAGCAATTTGATAAATACAGGCACAATTTTTAGAATTTGAAACTAAATACACTCACATCGAAGATCATACATTTGCAATTTTTAAAAGTGCTGTGAAATATACCTTAATCGATGTAATCAATGGCTCGTTGTCGCTCTTTTTGTAGTGAATAGGGTGGATATGGAAGCAGCGATTCGTTCGGGCCTTGATTTTTTCTTCGTTCTTGCTGGTTCGGTTGTGTGAGGACTTGATTTCCTATTATTCTTTCTGGTCGCTTCCTCTGTTTTTATGGGTTTTGGCTCCATGGTGTGTGGTGGGAGAGGGTTTTTTTACGTTGTGAAGAGGGGAGAGCGAGTGGGCGGGAGATTGGATACACGAGTAAATGGATAAGATACAATTTTTAGGAAGCTAGAATTCCACAAAATAAAATCTCACTCCATCCAAAAAAAAATATTTTTCTTGTTTTCAAGGAAAATCAGATCACGTGATTAAAAGTTGGAAAAAATTTCGAGGAAAAAATAGTTAATCAAACAGCACAAAAATAAAAATTTAGGTGAAAAAATGACATTTTTCATTAAAAATGTTGACAATCAAACGCGCTCTAAGTTTTTATTAATATAAGCAATTTTAGTGGTTATATTTGATATGGTAAATCATGTTTTTTGTTACAGGAAAAGACGCAATGGATATCATGAAAACCAAAGCACAAGAAGCTAAAGAAAAAGCCTCAGAAATGGAGCCACACTCGAGAGTCAAAGGATCAAATCGGCAGCGCAGCGAAAGACAAGATGTATGAAACAGCTGAATCTGCCAAGCAGAAGGCGGGCAGAACAGCCCAGGCCACCAAGGAGAAGGCGGCGCAGATGGCAGAATCTGGCCGTGAAACAGTGCAAGCTGGAAAATAGAAGACTGGTAAACAAATTAAGGGGATGGCACACATTTGGCGCGGCTGATATCGATGAGGATGATTCGAATGTTACTTGGACTATGAATTGAAAAATGGTTCGTTTTATGTTTTTAATTCTAGGCAATTTTTTTCTGGGTTGCTTTGTGCTTTTTGGAGTTCTGAACTTTGTAACATACAATAATAAATAATGTTTCAGACTCTAATTATGAAACTTGACCAATTAAATCCTTTGCATTTGAATTCTGTTGTCCTTTGCATCCTTTTGTCTATTTCATATTCTGTTCTGTATTTCCAGCAATGTTGCTTTAATAGGAAATGTTATATTTTAACTTCCGAGAATTCTTCTATGTATCAGTTTTTTTATTGCGCATTATTTTATTTCTCTACAAGTTATTAAGTGCGTGTGTGGAAAACCTAAAAAATTTGAGATCAAAATCAACAATAAATCTTGACTACACATTTCATGAAATTTACAACTTTAATCAACTTTCAGATCATGCCTTCGATCAACCTTCTATAAAAACGCTGATAATGTCAATTTTAATGTTTTGAGTTCACACGACTGACAATCATTTCTTGATTATGAGCTATAATGCTCCATCGACTAGTGTTTATTGTCATGATAGATAGATAGGTAAAAGGGGAATTAATTGTTCCAATGGTCACTAAATTTAGGTCTATATTTTTCTTTGGTTACTGAAATTTAAAATGTCAAGTTTTGATTATTGAACTTAGGTCCATGTATTTGATTGCTTATTGAAATTTAAAATGTCAAGTTTTGGTCACTAAAATCTGAAAAATGTTGTGCGTTGCTCGTTAGCATAAATGTCAAATTTACTGCTATTAAGGATAAGGATCTAATTCCTCGCCGGAGAGAGAGAAGAGCGGTTTGCACTTCGCGCCCCAACCCCCTTAACTAATGGATGCTTAAATACCTGCAACTGAATCTGTAAGCGGCGCAGGGCAGGACGGACGAGAAAAGCGGCGAGAAGAAGACAAAGAGAAGGAGGAAGGGAGACCTCTTTCTATTGCCTTCCCTTTCTACTTCTAGACTGGTTCGTCGGCGGGACAGCAAGCCAAGATCCGATTCGTCAATTGACGAATCCATGCCGCGTAACCTGGCAAAGGGGAAAGAGACGATGGCAACACACCTCATACAAGAGGGATAAAAATAGTAATGTACAATATTTTTCAAAATTCAATGATTAAAATTTGACATTTTAAATTTTAATGAGTAATCGAAGATATGGACCTAAATTCAATGATTAAAACTCGACATTTTAAACTTGTTCATTCGAACAATTAACTCGCAAAAGGCATGTTTCGGCCTTCAGCTTGGAAAGGGTAAATCAGGGAAAACGAAAAGTCACACGTGCTGAGCACTCACACGAGCGAGTCAATGCAGTCATTACGGGTTGCCATTTCACTCTCTCCCCGCAGCCCTCTTCCATTTCCCCATTAGCCGTTTTGCCATTTCTGAGAGAACTACTTGATCTCACCATCTTAACAAGAACAGCGGGCGACCTGAGATCAAATCCAGATTCTTAACGAATTTGAAGTAAAAACCATGTGGAGAAGACTCTTTGTTCAGATTCGAACTCTTGCCTCGACCCAATCAGCCCCCAATAGAACTCGAATTCTGACAGAATCTTTATCCTCTCCTGCTCCGCATCAAGTAGTCAAGTCTTTGCCGATATTCTATCGCCTATTCAGTACCGAATCTGGTACTAGCTGAACCCTAAATTTCTTGTATTTGCGATATATGTCTATACATTGATTAGCACCTATAGCATTCTATTTGTTGTGGTTATGTATGTATGCGAATGAATAAGAGTTATATTGATTTATATGTTTTTTGTTTTTTGTTTTTTTTTTTTTTTTTTTTGGGGGTTAAATTTTTTTTTTTTTTTGGGTGATGAAATGTGTTGAACAGGAAATGTGGTTAAGAGAGTTGAGGTTGTAATGCCTATTGCAACTGGTCATGAGCGTGAAGAGATTGAAGCTGAGCTTCAAGTGAGTTTTCTTTTTTATGAAGGCTTATTTTGTGTTAAATATACAATGCTGGGTTTGTATGAATAATCTGTGCTGATAGTTGTTGGTTGCATTGCCTTAGGGAAAGGACATTCTGGAAATTGACCATCCGTCCGGTCCCTTTGGCACAAAGGTTAGTGTGAAATATTTTGTCTCATAAAGGTTCTGTGTGTAATTGATTACTAACTTGTTGTTGATGGTCACCAGTTGTCATTAGCTGATGATTAGTCATTGTTATGTCGGGATAGTACCTAGGTAATAGAAAGCTTTTATCCCACACAGAAAAATGCAGGTCCCTGTATAGTTTGATCAAATTGATTTCTATACCTACTCATAATGAAATCCTGGATTTTGGATAATCTAGTAGTACATACTGAATTAAGTTAATTCAACATTGCTAACTAGTCTGTACTTGGAAATGAATGTCAGTAGATTATGATCATCTATAATTCTCGAGCCATGCGGTACGTCAATGTTTCCATGATATTCTTTTTCTTTTGCTTTTGCTTTTTCTTTAGTTTTCCCTCTTTTTGCCCCTTTCAAGATGCAACTGCATAGATAAATAATATTCACACACTTTTTGACGTTTACGGAAACCTTGCTTCTCTTGTGTTTTTTATTCTACTGCATTGAATTTGATTTGAAGCAGAAAGTTCTGTAGACTCCTCTTAATATTTTGTAGTGTGCACAAAATGTTAGATTTTTGCGTTATGGAAGAAACAAATTATATTTTCGTCCTGTCCTTTTCTCCCTAGATACTGTTTTTAAATGTTTATAATTTGTTACAGTTCTCTTACCCAATTCCTTCAGGATTTTTTTTGAAGATCCTTAAAGTCCTTTTTCCACTAAAAATGAATTTTTTCCTAAGCTTTGGGTAGTAACTTATGATATATTATTTGTGAATGGTGGAAATCAGCAGCAACAACCTGTAAAAGGATGCAAACAACAATAAAATTGAGCATTTCCAAGCCCTTTAAGACTACATAATGATCCTTTCCAGATGTTTATATATACTTTTTTTGGCCTGTTATATACTGGGAAGGTGGTCAAACGGAAGGTCAAGTTTGTGGAAGTCAGAGGATTGGTCCAAATATATGAACATTGTTAGTTGAGTACTGAAAGATTGTCATTTTCAAAGAAGTCCGCACCTGTTCCTAAGAATATATTAGTAAATCCTTTCGGGCAGAAGAAATAGAATTGAACTTTGCGGTAGTTTGAGTTTTATTTTGACATTTTGAGGTGCAAACCAATATTCAGTCTCATTATTAGTCTATGCGTTGAAAACTTCCACATTTTTCCTTCATTTTTCGTATCAAGCTGTTTGCTATAGTGACTACATGACTGGAAGGAGTGTTATGGGAGTTACTCATGCACAAAGTATTCAATTGGGCTTGTACGAATTTTTCTTACCTTTTTCATTCTAGACTCTTAACTTCCTTTTGTTGAAAAATATCACAAGCGGTGTATTATGTCTTATTACTCTTTACTAGTAAATAAAAATTTTGGGAAAGAAAAGAATCTGCGTTACCAACATCTTTAAATTTTCTACTATTCAATACTGTTTTGATTACATTGCCTAGAGTTGTTCATGTGCTATTATTCTGTAGAATGATTTATTTTATTTTATTTTATTTTATTTTTATTTTTTTTGTCAAAAATAGCACTAACCGCTAAACATTCTTCCCGTGTTCACTGTAACTGTAAAATTAAGTAGTTCACAAGACATGATGTGAGAGGTGAGATTTGCTGTTCACAGTTGTGTCTATTGTATTTAAACATAAATGAAGTGAAGATT